GTGCATGTATGTGTGCACACTCACCTCTGCACGTGGTCCCTTTTGCTCACACCACCACTGCACCCCTGTGTGTGTGCCTGTGTGAGGTGGTCTGTCCCCGGGAAAGGAGGCTTTGTGCCTCCTGTATCATGTTCCTGGCAGATGGCACCCCGGCTGCTCTCCATCATGCCGCGTTTCTGCTCAGGAAGCAGCAGTGTGAAGAACACGTTATTAAATCCTTTTTAACACTTGGTGTGTTGTCATCTAAAAATCCATGACACTTAACTTTGTCATTCCTGCTCTTTTCTCTACCTTGAATGCCAAGACAAACAAATAAACTCATCAAGTGAAATTTTAGGTTTGCCTGTTGGGGGAAATGGACTGTAGAACCACAGAGGAAGCCCTTCTGAGTTACCTGGTCCACCCGGTTCTGTATCTATGAATGCACTCCTGGAGCAAAGGACCACCAGACATAGGCAGAAAACCCAGAGAACAGGAAAGAAGGAGCAAAACAAATAGGACAACCTATCCCAGAGAAAACGGATAACCCAGGAGACCAAAGAGAAGATTGTAAAAATTCCAAGTAGTATGTTCGGCTGATTCAAGAGGGTATCATTATACCCATAAAACAAGAACTGGCAATCGTGAAAAAGGAATAATCAGAAACTAAGAAAGACTTCCTCAAAATTAACACTAAAATTGCTTAAATTTTTTTTTAAGTTTAATGGATAGACTGATAAGAATGTTCTAGATGAAAGGCCAAGCTGGTCATCTGGAAGGTTAAGTAGAAAACAAACCTTCAGTTCACAGACGGAAAGTGAAAGCTGTAAAACTGGAGGACAGAACGTGCAGGGAAGTTTCTCCTACATTGGCAGTGCTCCGAGGCTGACCCACGGGGCTTGAACCTGGTCCTCACTCTATGCCTGTGTGCGGCTGTCTCTCCCAGTCAGTCCGCAGCCTCCCATCTGTCCCCAAACTACAGCTTTTCTTATATTTCAACACTGTCTTCCAGATCTCTCTTCCTAAACATGTTGAGCAAAGAATTACATTTCTAATTTTATACCTCTAAAAGGAGGTTCTAGATGGTGAACTGCTTCAGGATGGGAACCCCATCTCCCACATCTCTTTGTATATCCTACAAAATGCCTGGCACCTCATGGCTATTTGATAGATATTCAGGGTGGTGGTGCCCAAATGGATACTCTTAAGGGCATGGATTCCCTTGGGTCCAAAGCAAGAAGGAGTCTTTTTTTTTGTAACATTTTTTATTGAGTTATAATCATTTTACAATGTTGTGTCAAATTCCAGTGAAGAGCACAATTTTTCATTTATACGTGAACATATATATATTCATTGTCACCTTTTTTTCCTCTGTGAGCTACTATAAGATCTTGTATATATTTCCCTGTGCTATACAGTATAATCTTGTTTATCTATTCTACATTTTGAAATCCCAGTCTATCCCTTCCCACCCCCCGCCCCCTTGGCAACCACAAGTTTGTATTCTAAGTCTGTGAGTCTGTTTCTGTTTTGTATTTTTTTTTTTTAGATTCTGCATATGAGCAATCTCATATGGTATTTTTCTTTCTCTTTCTGGCTTACTTCAGTTAGAATGACATTCTCCAGGAGCATCCATGTTGCTGCAAATGGCATTATGTTGTCAGTTTTTATGGCTGAGTAGTATTCCATTGTATAAATATACCACATCTTCTTTATCCAGTCATCTGTTGATGGACATTTAGGCTGTTTCCATGTCTTGGCTATTGCAGATAGTGCTGCTATGAACATTGGGATGCAGGTGTCATTTTGAAGTAGGGTTCCTTCTGGATATTTGCCCAGGAGCGAGATTCCTGGGTCATATGGTAAGTCTATTCCTAGTCTTAATTATCTTCCTAATTTGCACTTTGGATGGAACACCTGGGGTGTGAGCTCCAGCGGGCATTGCTTCTTCTGCTTCTCTCTCACCCAGCAGGTTTTTTCTACCACTTGTTGGTCTTCAGTATCTACCTGAATCCCCTTATCTGTGTATTTTTCCCGTGTGTAATTGGTCTTAATCTCGCCTTAGTGTAGCTCTCAAGTATTCTTCCGTTTTCCATTCTCTTCCTTCAGTGCCCCTTCTTCCTCTCCATTCTAAATCAAGGGGGAAGCTGAGTTGGCCACCGCCTAAGGCAGCGAGTGCATTTGGGAGCTGGGGGTTGTGGTACCTGCTGTGGGCGTGGCCAAGGTACAGGGCGGAGCAGAGGCAGGAGGCATTCACCTTGCTCAGAACCCCTTTAGGATACAGATATTCCGATGCCAGCCCTCGCCGCCCATGCCTGGGAGAAAAACCACAGCCCACGTCAGCAACCTGGGGTGGTGGGGGGACCAGGGGACTGAGGTTCAAGCCTGACTCAGCCCTTCGACGCTGTGTCACTTGGGGCAACCCTTTCTCTCCCGTGTAAATTGGATGCCCACCCCTCCCCAACCTCCCAGGCTGTTGTGAGCATTATGTAAGTCAAGTGCGGTGGAGGGGGGTGCTGCTTGCTGAATAACCAGAAGGATTCCTTTGCTAATGAATGTGGGTTCTGTTGCTCTGGGCTGCACTATCATTTACATTAAAAATGACTAATTAGAGCAGAATCCTTAACAAAAGACCCACCAGCTGTTGTTTATGGTTTAGAAAAGCAAATTTTTTCAAAGCCAGGGATTTGCCCCTCTGATGTCAGGAAACCCCGCGAGTCTCTCCCTAGCTTTTGATACCTGGTGAAGAACTTTGCCCTGAGGACCGACACTTACCAATGGGAGTGGGTTGTGGTCTGGGCTGTGGTAATACAGAACAAGGCTGAGAACATCAGGCTTGTAAGCACTGGGCTCCCCAAAGGGAGGAGACTGGCCAGATGGAAGCATCTCAGATGGCCTCTGACTTTATATTTTCAGAACCTTGGGCAGCTCCTGAGATTCCAGGGCAGCACAAAAAGAGGGCTGCCTCCTCCCTGATAGGTGGATGGAAAGGATGAAACCCTTAGGCAGATCCATCATAGCCTGTCCTGAAATTCAGCTCTCTCTCATCTTGGACGCTCATTCTTTTTTTAGTTGAAATGTATTAGATTTACAACGTTGGGTTAGTTTCTGGTGTGCAGCATAGTGATTCAGTGATACATATATATATATATGTATTTTCATATTCTTTTTCATTATAGGTTATTACAAGCTATTGATTATAGTTCCCTGTGTTGAACGGTAAATCCTTGTTTGTCTGTTTTATATATGTCTATATATTTTATAGAAGTTTATATGTGCTCATCCCAGTGTCCTCATTTACCCCTCCCTCTCCCTTTCCCCTTTGGCAGCCATAGCTTTGTTTTTTCTGTCTGGGAGTCTGTTTCTGTTTTGTGAATAAGTTCATTTGCATCATTTTTTTAAAAAGTTTCCACATATAAGTGGAATCATATGATATCTGTCTCTGTCTGACTTACTTCACTTAGTATGATCATCTCTAGGTCCAACCGTGTTGCTGCAAATGGCATTATTTCATTGTTTTTTATGGCTGAATAGTATTCAGAAGACAAGCCCTTCTCCCTTGGTACGTTTTGACCCCTTCCCTTTTCATGAAGAAGCGTTCCTCCTGGCCCCAAGGCCTTGGTCTGGATTCTAAGCAATGTCGGTTGTTCTCTTTCCTATTCGGGTTGGGGCTGGACGCCCCCGTAGATGTCAGAAGGTGTCTTAACATTATGCTTCTACTCTACTGATCCCAGGTCACTGGGGCAGTTCCTTTTTTTTTTTTAAATTAGCCCTGCTTTCCTCTCCATCAGACACTATAGCCCAGCTTTGCTCTTCCCGATTCGATCACAGACAGGGCACTGGTGACCTCGGCAACTCAGTCCCACTGGAGAGGACCTGGAAGATCGTCTTGCCCACTCCTTAGCCCCAGGCTGGTGTGAGACAGGCACGCCGTCTCAGAGTGGACTGTGACGGTCTCTGCCATTCAAGAATGGGTCATCAAATGTCCGGGGTGACGTCACTGGGCAACCATGTCAACCTTGGGCTTATTGTTCATGAGCCCGTTCAACCGGGCATGTTGAGGTCAGGGGTCAGCCAGCTCTTTCTTTAAAGGGCCAGAGGGTAAGTATTACGGTTTTTCAGGCCATTCGATCTCTTGTTACTACTCATCTCTGCTGACGTAGCACAAAAATAGACAATTCATCAACAGTCCAGCATGGCTGTGTGCCAGTAAAACTTTATTTATGAATTTTCACTAAATTTTGAATTTCAGATAGTTTTCATGGGTCATGAAATACTATCGTTTCTTTGATTTTTTTTTTTGACTATTTAAAAATGTAAAAATCATTCTTAGCTTGCAGGCCATTCAAGAATAGGCAGTGGGCTGGCATCTGCTGTCCCTTGGTTTAAGCTACTGTTCGGTGGATTTTTTGTTACTGGAGGCTTTGTGAAATCTTACACGACAAAGGGATGAACCTTTTTATTTTTGCAAGCCTTTTTTAATTGACAAAAGGATTAAAATGGTCAAATTTGAATGAACTATGGGACTCAAAAACTTCCAGTTTCTCAGTGGCAAAGTCAATACATAATGGGAAAATTCAATGACATTGAAAAATGTAAGATTCATTCTTTTCATCAAGTTCCTTCACTTGCGTTTGCACATAGAGTGGCACATCCATTTCAGAGATTACCCTTAGCAAGGGCTTCTTTAAACTTGCATTGTGCCACATCAAAATGCTGTTGTCTCAGTATCTTATGGAAGAAGTGAAAGAAATTGCCTAGTCTTAACAGCTGAGTAAATATAATCCTTTTAAGTAACCATAGGGTATGACGAAAAGACCATGGGATTGGCCGATGTGATGAAGTGTGTCGCTGGTTCCATGCTATCCCACGGGTCAGGCCGTCGCCCCGCCTTGATTGGACAGCAGTGCTAATCTAGCCCACAAGAGTCTCCTGGTTTTGGCCTCTGAGCAAGCTTTGATTTTTATGTGCATGTATTATCGAAAAATTATACCCTTCACACTCTTTTATGTCTGTTTCAGAGGGTCTTGCTGTTGGAGTTGGATTTGGGGCTGTAGAAAAGACGGCGTCTGCCACCTTCGAGAGCGCCAGGTAAGCCAGCACCTAATGTCTTAGAGCTGCATCCCGTGATGCTCGGAAATGCTTAATGTCTTGGGTGAACCGTCTGCACGTAATCGCGCACCACCTCCAGCCCCACAGGTCTAAGACAAGTGGTGGCGCGGAGGAGGTTGGCTCAGCTCATACCTGAGAGAGGTACTCCATCAAAGAAGCAGGTTTATGCCATTTTCCAATGAACTATCTAGTGGGTGAAAACAAACATCTTGAAAACAAAACATGGATATAATTTCACACTGTTCTCCGAACCCTTTAAATGCATAAATACGTTATAAAGACAGTATTCTGGGGGGATTGGTTCCAGGATCCGCCGGCGGACACCAAAATCCGCAAATGCTCAGGTGTCTCCGTCAGCTGTCAGTATCTGCCGATCCCGATCCCGTGTCTGCAGGTCCCACATCCCCGAGTTCAACCAATGGCGGATCGCAGGATCCAGGAGGGCCAACTGTATCATGAAGGCAACAGTTGATGGTCCTAACTGCTCCCTCCTTTTCGAAGCCCTCACTTTCTCTTTCTTGCCACTGGCCCCTCCTCTTTCCTCCTTCTGCTTCTTTCCAGGCCCCTTTTGAAATGTTGATGTTCCCCAACGAGATCCCTCCGTCTCTGAGGCATCCTTTCTTCTCACTTAACGCACTCTCCTGGGGGATTCCTCCCCTTTCCCATGGCTTTATTTTCCATCTGTTTACTTGTGATGCACAAGTTGATCTTCAACCCAGTTGTTTCTTCCAAACCTATTCTTATGGGTCCAGCCACCTTCCGGATGTCTCCAACTGAGATGTTTCACAGGGTCCCCACACTCAGCATTTCCCAAGTTGAGCAGATCGCCTCCATGTGCAATCTTGCAAAACCCACCCCTTCCCCAGCATTCCCCATCACCACCATGGACCCGGTTGACCAAGCCAAACTCATCGCTACCCTCAATGCCTCATCTTCCCCATCATTCCCCAGGCAATCACCAGGCCTTGTGAATTCTTCCTCTCCTCTGCCTCCCCTGAATCGTAGGGTTGGATAAGGCTACAGCCTTGGGATCACAAAGAGGCACCGTGGAGATGAGCTACACGGTCCACGTGTGCCCACAAAACCATGGATACTGTAGACTCCAGGTTGAAGGAGGGCAGGGTGGAGCCTTCCATCCAAGGGCAGCAAACTCAGATGCCTTCAGGGGACTAAAGTGTAACAAGACTGAGCACAGACAGTCAGGTGGAGACAGGTGGGAATGGTGAGGAAGACAGGAAATGTCAGCTAGACTGCACATGCACTGTCTAAAGGCGCTTGGATTCATAATTATTTTAAAAACATAATTCAAAGAGCTGGCCCAGGGGTCACTGGTTTCTGACCTCTGTGTCTAGCTCAGCCCACTGCCTTCTGACTGCTACAGTTTCAACATTGACTTTTTCTCCCCTCAAGACAGTAACATCACCTCCTTTAATAATCTACCCTGTGTCTAGGAACCATGAACTCGGAGCCAATTTCACTCTAAGGCCCTTTTCCATCCGTCCCTCATTTCCGAGCTCATGTGGGGCCTCTTTAAGCCCCATCACTTTTCATCTGCTCCCCCAGCTGATGTGGAGTCCCTGCATGTTCGGAGGAATCACTGCCAGTCACTGCATTCTAACGCTATCTGCAAGGGACATGTCTGTTCCCCGGAGCCCCAAATACCCGTGTGGGCTGGCCATGTTCTCGGTTGAAATTTTCCCAGTTCTCAACCTCTTTTTGCTGCCTGTCAGACTCCCGGGTCACTTCCTCGCCCCGTCTCCCTCGTCATCCATTAATAAGATGCCTATTGGGAAAATTGGAGGAGATGGTAGATGGGGAGAAGGTTTTAGAAAGTAGGAAATGTCACCAAAATCCAGGGCCAATTGTGATTCATGGTGCCCTGCAGGCTGCTTTCTCTGCCCTGGACTAGGGCGCGGGGCGGGGTAGTTGGGCTCTGTGTCCAGCCCCCAACCCTGGGCACAACTGTTTTGCTCTTGGCTTCGTTTAGAGCACAAGGAACTTCAGGGGCGGGTGGTGTCCAGGGGGCTGAAGAGCCCTGAGGGGCTGACCCCATAAGCATTCAAAGGCCAGGTCCTTCCAGAGCCCGGGGAACCACACGCTCTCCAGAAATGTCTGCCCACAAGTGACAGCCCTGCCCGGGGCAATGCACTCGCGGGCTGGGCTTTCTGTCCGGTGGCGCCACGTCTCCCGCAACATCGAGATGTCAACTCTGATGTCTCTCAATTTTGTCACCTGTACTTTCTGCTAATCTTTATGTTTCTGGAGAAAGTAGAGCAAACGCTTTTCCATCCCAGCTCCTCCCTCCCCTTGACCAGACAGCTCCTCTCTGCATTACATAAACCCTCAGCGGGATTCTCCAGCTGGGACTGGGCGAGGGCGGCACGACTCAGTATTTTTAGCCTCAAGAAACCTTCTGATAAGCAAGCATCCTTGGGGCATTTTCATGCCCCTACACGCCACCCACCCCCACCACAGCCAGCGGGGCAGAGCTTTGCCTCCATCACCACTATGTACAGAGTATCAGGACGGGGCATGGGGGGGTGGCGGGGAGGGGTGTCTCTGCAACTCAGGCCACAGAGAGGGAAAGAGGGTGACCTCGTGCAGACCCTCCATCGCAGCCTGTTTTCCCCACGTACAAATCCACATATAGTTCGTGATTTGGGTCCTTCCTTTCTGAATGCCTGCGATCTTACTCTTGAGGGTAAAATGTAGAACAGCCCCCAGAAGAGGCTTCTCTGCCTTTAGCTTCTGCTCCAGACCAGGGCTTCGTCGGAGGACAGGGACCTGAGGGTAGTAGGGAGGGAGGGAGGGAGGGGGGCAGAAGACGAAAAAGACAGACACAGTAGGGGGAGAGGTGCAGACACAGTCATCGGATGATGAGATATGTCTTTTAAAAGAGAGAGGTTTTGCTTTTTTAAAAAACACGACAGGCAAAGGTTGAAAAATAAAGGGATGAAAAAAGACACAGGGCGAGTGCCGATCAAAAAGGAAGCAGGCATTGCAGTTTCAGTATCAGACCAGACGGACTTCAAGGCAGAAAGCCACCTACAGAATAAAGGTCATTTTATCATTAATGAAAAGAGAAACAACGCAGGGGATGACATAATGATCTTGCACTTGTACGCCTCCAGCAGCAGACGCCTCAAAATGCCGGAGATAAATCATCGGAATAGCAAGGAACAGCAGACAAGACCACAGTCATGGTGGGGAGTACGATTCCCCGCTCTGACACTGATAAAGTAGCTAAGAAGTTCACAAAATGGGCATCATGGACATAATGCAGAACCTCAACCCAGCAACGAGAAAACTTACGTTCTTTGCAAGCACACGTGTGCGTGTTTCCACAAATTGATGCCGTGTCACGGAGAAAGTCAGAACACCCCCAGACTGATACCATTCAGAACCCCTGCTCTGACCTCAGTGAGATGTAATTGAAAATCAATAACAAAAGAGATAGTGAAAACAACTGGCTAGTGGCCAGTGAGACCTGCAGGCGCCGTAAGACGAGGCACCAGCTCCCGGGGGAGGGACATAAACCAAATTATCTAAGGAACCAGTGGACGGAGGGCACGGTCTTCCCCCATCTCAAGGGCGCTTCATAGAATAGGTGGCATTTCGTCAGGAGCATGGGGACGATCGTCTTGGGGAAGCAGAAATGTTAAGGGCAGATGACGTCACTGAGGTGGGGCCACATGGTGCTTTACGAAGTAAGACCGAAGGCCAAGGAGAAGGTGTGTTCTTTTGCAAGACCCTGACCACCTTGATGAGTTCCAGTGCCCAGAAATGACAGAGCCCAAGACCTGGCTTCCACGGAATAATTTGAGGGGAAGAGGTAGCCAGATCCGCGTGAAGAACCCAGACACTGAACAGACACTCACTGACACCACAGCTACAAAGAAGACGAGGGGTGTGTTGATACTGATGGGAGGGAAGAGAGACTGATGGAAGGAAGGGGTCTTAAATGCAGAACAAATGGGCAGCATTTGTCACTGATGCTGTTGTGTGGGGGAGAATTCAAGTCCAGGTGACAAGGAGACAAGTAATCACATAGGTACATAGAGGGGGCTGAGAGGGGAGGAAGGATGGGTCTGCATGGATTTGGGGAAAGAGAAGAGTTACCCAGCATATGCCTGGGACGTGCGGACCAAGCTATCTGAGCCAGGTACAGTTCTCTGCTCCTTTAGCGCAGGGGTTGGCAAAGGACGGCCCATGGACCAAATCTGGCCCAACACCTGCTTCTGTAAATGAATGACGTTTTACTGGCACACAGTCATGCCTGTTATCATCAAATTCTGACTCCAACTACCTTTTTTTTTTTTAACGACGTGTGCCCTGTTGGTAATGCACCTGAGGTTCTCTCTCTCACCTGTGGCATCGAAGCCACACCACGAGAGAATAAAGAGGTGAAAACTAAATACTCCAAAAAGGCACCATCTTCAGTGCCCATTTGAGTTTCTCAGACCAGGAGAGAGGACCGGTAAGTCCCTAGCATATAATTTGTGTATGGCTGCTGCCACCTAGTGTTTCGATGCTGTTACTTCATCACCTGCGTGGTGCCCTCCCCACTGCCCTGCTACCCGGTCCACCTTCCTCCCTCACCAGGTTAGCTTTCGTTGGGGGACTGATGGGGGGAAGCATTCAGAATTCAACATCCCATGAATGATGACCAATCTCAGCCAGCAAAAGGCAGCCTGGAGTCCAAGAGAGACACAGCTTGCTTCTTCCTGATCCGGTCCCACAGCAATTTCTTTTGGTTAAGAAATTCTTCAGACGGCCTGCCCTTGGGGAGTTGACTGTTTAAGCTGATTTTCCTCTCTCAAGTGTCATTACCTCCACAGCACGTGTTCCCCAGAGAGGAAACATGCCCTCAGCTCTCACTTAACTGGCTGGCAGGCGCAATTCAAACCAGCAGGGAGAGCAAGGTTATTTACGCTGAAACATTTTGCTTCCTGCTTAAGCTTTGACTAAGCACTTTGTCA